GGACTTAACAGTGATCTACTTGCTTCTGTCTCCTGGGTGCTGGGATTAAAAGTATGAGCCACCATGCTCAGGTCAAAAGTGTCATTATACTTCTAAAAAGTGTACCTACAAGGAAATTTTGAATCATACACATGGGCTGTTGGGATTTGGGCAGTGTCAAGCTACAAGATTAAATGACAGACATGCAGAGCCTGTCTATCCTGCATTAAGTGTGGAACTAGGCTTCATAAAGAAGCACTCCTAAGTCCTGTGAGGGGCATGGACCAAGTTCTCAGGGCACTAGTAGCTCAGTTTTCCAGAATAGAGGCTACTGGGAACACAGCTGGAAAGGTAAGCCGTCTTTAGTGGTTTAAATTGGTTTGAAGCAGTGGTCAGAGCCATGTTTGCCTTTGGAGTTTTTACTTAAGGGTGAGCAATCACGGCCACATAGACCCTGGGCTCTTCCTCTCATTTCTCACAGGCAAGAAAAAAGATCTCAGTGTGTTGTGCAGAGCCTCAGGCTGGGGCTTCTGACTTCTGGGTGTAGGAGCCTGGCAGTCTGCAGACTTGGGACACCACAACTATGGCCTCCTCCTCCACCTAGCTGTGTAAATCCATATGAGCACAGATCTGTAAAACAACTTGGGTTTGTGGAGTGAGTACTTCAAGGTCAACATTTGCAGTGGAGCAAGTACACTTCACAGTTTGCAAACTGTTTCCCATTGCTTAGTGTGTCGGAACCTCCCAGTCTCTGGTCACCTGATGGCAGAGTATTTGCAGAAAGCAGCTCAGAGAAGTTAGGTTTTAGTTTTATGACACTGACTGATGTGATGCAGCTGGGACCAGTACCCAGGCCTCCTGACTGACTTGCTGGTTTTCTGTGTATGTGCTGAGTGGTCCAGAGGAGAAGAAAGGAGAGAAGATAAAGAAGGAGGAGGAAATGGGACAGGGGGAGGATAAGGACAACAATGATGACAGAAATATACCTATCATTTACTGGGTACCTACCATGCCATGGGCCCTGTATATGCGTTGACTGTTTTAGTACATTAAAATTCACACTTTAGAAACTAAAAGCTGGAGGTCTGGTGAGATGGGTCAGTGGGTAAAGGTGTTTTCTACCAAGATCGATGACCTGAATTCAACTCGTGGAACGCACATGGTAGAAGAAGAGAACCAACTCTCACAAGTTGTCCTCCGATCTTCACATAAAATGCTGTGGTAGTACATGCTACACACACAGACACACAGACACACAGACACACACACACACACACACAAATAAATAAATAAATGTAAAAAATAAACTAAGAAGCTGGAAACAGGTATGGAGAGATGGCTCAGTGGTTAAGAACACTTACTGTTCTTCTAGAGGACCCAGGTTCAGCTCCCAGCATCTGTATGGCAGCTAACAACTATCTGTAATTCTAGTTCTAGGGGATGCCCTCTTCTGGCTTCTGCAGGCATTGTATGCATATGTACACTTACATACATGCAGGCAAAACACTCATACACATAAAATAAAAATAAATAAATTTTTAAAATTAAAAAAAGAAGCTGGAAACATAGATTAGGGCTCAGTTGGGGTGACCAAAGAGAATGTTCTAGACCTGTGAAAGGGAGGGGACAGAAGAAGAAGATGTGAAGGAGAGGATCCAAAGTGAGTTCATTTGTGTCTCAGTCACTCCTGAGTTATGTCTACTTGGAGTCCTGCAAGTCCCTCTCCCTCTTTCCTAGCACTTTGGCAAACAAGGTAGGGCAGAAGTGTCCCAAGGAAGCAGGGGTGAGACAGCAGAAACTGCTGAAGGAGCAGAGTCACCTCCTTAAAGCCATTGGCAGGGTCCTGGAACCCCAGCCTTGAGACCAAGAGGTAGGGTGGTAGTGTAGACAGCATGGAAAATAGATGGTAAAGTACATACAGTGTGCACCTCTTCTGCTTAGGTTGTCATGACAAAATAACACTGGATGACTTAAACAACCAACACTTCTCCAGTTCCAGAGGCTGGGAGTCTAAGATTGAGGTGCTGGCAAGTTCAGGGTCTGGCTTCCTTTCTGGCTCTTGCTTTCTTGCTGGATCTCCACACAGCATTTCTTTGATGCCTATGTGTACAGAGAGGGAAAGATCTCTTTTTCTCTTCAAAGATCATCAATCCTGTTGGTTAGAACTCATTCAGCTTTAATTACCTCCTGCTGCCATTAAGATCTAGAATATTTCCTAAAGGCCCTTATGTTAAAGGTTTGGTCCCAGAGCGGTGCTATTAAGAGACGATGGAGCCTTTAAAGCCTGGGATCTACTGAGAGATCTTTAAGCTGTGCCCTTTAGGAAAGGACCCTGGACATTCTTCTGCTCCATCTTGTGCTTTCACCATGATTAGTTGCTTGTGACAGAACCAAAGCAACCAGACCCACCAATCACAGAGTAGAATCTCTGGGTAACTTTCCCCATTTACAGGTTCTAAAAGCCTTGACTCCAAACACATAACACTGGGGGCTAGTGCACTAATAATGTATGAGGTAGGGGCACACACACAATTCAGTCCAAAGCAGACCAGTCCCTCTAGGAAACTTTATTTTGACCTCTTGGAGCTTGCAAGGACCTGCCTCTGAGTCACAGTGCCTGGATAAGCCACAGGCCACAGCCTCTATTTCAGAAGTCACATATATAATGTGTCTCTGGGATGAAAAAATGGACCCAGTGATCTAAGTTCCTCAGCCCTGCTCCATCTAAGGATTTGAGATGGGATTTATTGACTCTGGCTGGCATATCACAACCATCCCCCAAACTCCTCTCTCAGGTACCTCCTTGGGTTTCACCACTAGTGCTACTGAGAGGCATTCTGGCCATTTCCTCTCCTAGGAGCCTCCAGGGTCAGAGGAAGAGCAGGCATCTCAATAGGAGTGAGCCTTACCCACTCTAACCCTGGCAGCCCTGTTTCTCTACTCTGTAATTATAAATAAACCCAGATGATAGAAACCAAAGAGGACCCAGGGACAAATTGGTCTCCATTTTCTCCAATATTCTGGAACAGGAGCTTGTGACCGGAACCATGTTGATTTGAATGAGTCTCCCTAGAAAGATGTAACTCAAGTTTATTAAAGTCTCTGTGGCCCCACCTAACCTGGAACTCACTATGTAGACCAGGCTGGACTCCATCTCAGAGATCTGCCTGCTTCTGCCTTCTGAGTGCAGGGATTAAAGGTGTGTGCCACCACACATGGTCTCTTTTCATTATCTTTTACATTTATTTATTGTATGCATGCGTGCGTGCGTGCATGTGTGTGTGTGTGTGTGTGTGTGTGTGTGTGTGTGTGTGTGCGCGCGCGCGCGCGCGTGCCATGGCATGTGTGTGGATGTGGGAGTCAGTTATCTTCTTCCTCTATGTGGGTCCTGGGGATCAAATCAGGTTGTGAGACTTGAACCCAGATAGGACCATGTGACAGATTCTGGGCCATGAATTCAGGCAGAAATGATGAAGACCACTTCCAGGCCTGACTCCTAAAATATACCCTAGAGCCCCACTATCACTTTCTTGGCCTTTTCTTATTGGAAGCTGAGGGGCCAGGGGTCACCTTAGAACCCCCGAGGGAGATGCTAAGGCCATTAGGTAGGTTTCTGAATGCCTGAGTAGGGCCTTGCCCCTTCAGATTGAACTGTAATCTGGCTGCTGGGGCTCGGTTCATAATTGTTTCTTATCTGTAACCTTTCTTACTTGTGCAGAGGTGTGCTACAGTAAGCTATGGAATGACCTTAGCTAGGGTCTCTGCTGTGAAGGAAGTCACCATACCTCCAAAGACCAAGGCCATCTTCCCCACATCACTCTACCAGGGACCCATCACCCTTAGAGCTACCATTTCCTTCAATACTCAAGGCTGTCTAGGAGACCAACCTTCTTTAGGCTTAGTTTGGCCATTCTGCAACAGACACAGGGGGGAATGGAGGAAGCCCTGGGGCTGTCCCCACCCTCCAAGCTGCTCTACTACCTATTCCCCTGGCAGCCTCCTGTGTAGTAGGAGTTCACTCACGTGTTTTTGTGGAGGAGGTTTTGAAGGAGGGTTTTGAGTTTTTCCCTAGAGACGCCAGAAAGACAGTTTCGTCTCTGCACAACAGAGCTCCTCATATATGACTGTTTCTGTGGTTACCTGTCTTCTGGGATGTTTGCAGTGGGTGGGCATGGCAGGTGCGATCTGTGAGGGTATGAGGCAATCTGGAGGAAGCACCAGCCTGCTCCCCCCCACCCCGTGGCCCAGCAGGCAGCTGTCCCTAGAATGAGAGACATCAGTCAAGCCCCTTCCTCAGCTGGAGACTGAAGACACACTGAACGTCTGGGAGGGAAACACCCGAAGAAAGAGCCTGTCCCTCCTTGCCGTCCATTTTAAAGGTGGAGAAAAAGGCCGAGGACGGCTAAGGGTCTTCTTGCCAAGACCAGATGAGTTGTCAGAGGTAACCAGAGCTGGAGCCCAGGTCTTCCTACATCCAGACTGGGCTCTTTCCCTTAACGAGGCTCGGGGAGGTGGGTGATACGTGCACACGGGGACTGAGGTGGAGCGGGAGAAGGAACTGGCAGGCAGCCCGGCCGGGTGCTGGGGTGTCTGGGGTGACTTAAACCTCTCTTCTCCTTCCCTGGCCACCCGGGCCGCACTTCCTGCCAAGGACTACCGGGGCGGGGGGCGCAGGCGTCTGGCCCTTCCCGGCGCCGCCCCGAGGCCTCTCCCACACTCGCAGGCCAGAGGCCAAGGGTTAGGTAGGCGGGGCCAGTTCTCAGCCCCTCCCCGCTCCACGTGTCCCCGCGGGGTTGGGAGCAGCAAGGCAGAGCTCTGCTGTGCTGAGAAGTAGAGACTGGTCAGGATGATGAGGGCTGGGGGCCCCGCCCACCGTGGGTCCAGAAGGGGGCGTGGTCTGACTGCAGCCTGACGGGCGTGGCTAGGACAAGGGGTGTGGCCTAAGCGGGGGCGGGTCCTCAGGAAACTTGAGCGCCCGCCCCCGCCGCGCGCCCCGCCCCGGCCTCCGCCTCCGGGTCCCGCCTTCCCGTCCCTTCCTTCCCGGGCTGTCGGCGGCTGCGGGCGGTGGACCAGCGGATCGGCGGGCGCCCTCACCTCGCTCCCTCCCTGGCCGGAGGCTTCCTTTTGTCTCTCCGGGCGGCGATGGTCTCAGGGCCGGCTTAGCTGTTGCGGGCACCCAGACGCCGGCATTCCTAAGCCACCTCTCCGGCTTCGGTGCTCGTTCCGGGCAACGGCCGGTCGCTCCGCCGCTGCCGAACTTGGGCTCCAGAAGCCGGTGGACCGTGTCCTGCGCCGGAGCCGGTAGGGAAAGGGTGGCTGCGAGGCTGCAGAGCCGAGGGAGGGAGGGCGTGTGCACCGGCTGGCCGTGATCGGGCTCGTGTGTGTGTGTGTGTGTGTGTGTGTGTGTGTGTGTGTTTATGTTTATGTGTGTGCGCGCGCGCCGGTGTTGGCCGTGCCTGTGTCTCTGCGTGGTGGAGTCGCAGGTGACCGTGGACGGTGGTGTCTCTAGAATGGCGTGGCCTCGTGGGGATCCGTGCGTGGCCTCGTGGGGATCCGTGTGTTCCATGGCATGTGCACATTTCGGACTGCGTTAGTGGAATTGTGTGTCCGGGTGGTGGGGACCGGTGCCGAGCGGGTGTGGTGTGATGTGCGCAGCGCGGTGGTGGCGGGGTGGGCGTGGGCAGACTGTCCCGGTGCGCTGAACCGCTCTTGTCGGTGCTGCTAAGCGCACTGCGGAGCTCAGGAATCCAGGGTGAAGGCTGGGACCCGACCAGGCGAGTGACTGCCTCGCGGCCAGATGTGGGCTGACCCTCCCCAGGGCAGGGTCTGTCTCGTGGGCAGAGGTGGGCTGACCCTCTCCGGGGGCAGGTCCGTTTGCCCCACGTGGGACGCTGGTGAGCTTCCAAGAACATTAGAGACCCGCGCAGCAACATCGGCTCAGGTCTTCCAGACGGTGCGGAAAACTAACCCAGCCCTGGCCACATCTTGACGCGCCCTGTGACCTGAGCCAGACACACACCACCTTTCTGGGTCCCAATTTGCTTTGGTCTCAGATGGGGACACCCTCCCCCCGTCCCTACCCTGGGGCTGTCGTGACAGAATGAGAACGTTTTACGGATAGTTCTTGACCCAGAGCCTTGCACACAGTAGGTGCTGTATTAATAATTGGATTCTCATCTCTTAAAAAAAAAAATCAAATCTTTGTTTTGCCTTTATTGTGGGTGACGCTCTCGCATTTCCTCTCGGGCGGTGCTTTGTGCCTTCTTCCTGCCTCTAACTTAACCGAGAAGCTGGAGATTCGAGAAAGTTTAGAACGTTTTACGGATAGTTCTTGACCCAGAGCCTTGCACACAGTAGGTGCTGTATTAATAATTGGATTCTCATCTCTTAAAAAAAAATCAAATCTTTGTTTTGCCTTTATTGTGAGTGACGCTCTCGCATTTCCTCCCGGGCGGTGCTTTGTGCCTTCTTCCTGCCTCTAACTTAACCGAGAAGCTGGAGATTCGAGAAAGTTTAGGCTGCCCGGCGCGCTGTCTGCACTGCGCACCGGCGGGGCTGCGTCGCGCGGCCTCCGGGTGATCGCGAGCCCGCTGCGCGCGGTGCTGATCCTTCTGCGGGGAAGGCTCTCTCCCCGGAGCTGAGGTTCTCCTCCTGGTCCCGAGGCTGCGATTACGGAGTCTGGAGCCCTTTTGTTCAACAAGTGCCTGGGGCGGGGGGGTGGGGGTGTGCAGCTCCTGCTAGGAGTGTTGCCGAATGAAAGTGGCGGTCTCCGCAGACACTCATCTGGGGTTCCCAGAGCTCGGCTTGATCACGCCGAAGACCACCCCCTTTGTCTTCTAGCCTATGGATTTCACCCAGAGGAGGATGTTTGTCAGGACGCCAAACCTCGTCTCTGGATTCGGCTTTTGACACCCTCCAGCCTCACCCCCAGCCCCGCCTGGCCCAGCACCTTTGCAAATCAGCCTGTTGAGGGAGGCATGAGACCCCACCTTCTAGTCCCGATCCCTTGATTTTTAAAATATTTAGCATTGAAACCTTCTATTGGTAAAACTGCATGGCTCTGAATGAGCACACTGCTGCTGCCACAGTTCACTCTCTGGGAGCACCCACGACATCACTTAGGCATTTGCTCTGCGCCAGAGAGGTAGCGCCGGGCTTTCTGGCTAGTCCCCGCTGCCCTCTGCCAGATCGGGTGATTCCTTCTCTCCACTGCTTTGTCCTTATCTCACTAGTTTGAAAACAGCTTTTTAAGCAAGGAAGGAACAGACTCCCCAAAGGTTGCCCGAGTCTCTCAAAATGGAGCTCGGGCAGGGACTGGGCTAGGGAAGAGGTGATTGCCATCTGGGTTGTATAGGATGCGTTTCATAGTCTGAGGTGCTCTCTGCTTGTCCCCTCCTTGTACTCGGCAAGAAGCTGGAATGTCTTGCAGGCACTGAGACATTGGAGCAGAAACCTCTGGTTTGGGTCCTTTGGTTTGTCTCCAAAGCCTGAAGCCCTGAGGTCTTTGGCATGATGACAGTCCAGGGACGTCATAAGCTAATTTTTCATCCTGATTTGGTGTCAGAGACTCGGAATGCAACCTGTTCTCTGTTTTATCAAATGATTTTATATTCTAAGGAGAAAAAGGATTTTGATCAGAATCTTACTTATTTCTCCAATAAGATTCAATAACAATTAAAAAAACATCAGTCTGTTTTTCTCAGCTCAGAAAACAGACCAAAAATCTCTCTTGTTTTGTTTTCCTAGTTAAAGCCAGCCCTTTGTCTCAAGCAAACCAGTGTTTTGGCCCTAGATCTATTTCTGTTTCACTTTTGAAAGTGCCTGTAATTACTGAGCTCTTGAGGTTTTATTGGATAATGTGCCAGTGGGAAGGCCTAGGGGCTGTGCCTCTCCCTGTGTGGGATGTATTGCTATGGACTAGCCATGCACGCACCTTTGAGCCTTACTTTTACACTGATTTAAACTGGACCATAACTGTCAATGTAACAGCCTGGGAGTCATGACCATTGCCTTATGGAGAAAACAGAGCAAGTAGAAAGCCCAGAACAGAGGTTTGCCCAAACTCTGACCCAATACTCATTCATTTTCAACAAGCCCTCCTGGAGGTAGATTGCAAAGGAAATAAAAGAACGTGAAGGAATCATGTTAGAGTGTATCACAGTCAGGCTTTCTGTCCATAAGCCTGTGCAGAATTTGAAATTCCCACTGAGGGAAAAGGAATGGATCCAGGGCCTGATGCTGGACTCACTTCATCCGTACCTGGAACCTTCATGTTTCCTTCTGCTAGGTGGGGACTGAGTGTCCAGGAGCTCCAAGGGCTGCCTTTTTGGCCCAGGTCCACATTGACAAGGCAGCAGGATGGTTCTCCATGTTTTTCTCTCCAGCTTATTCTATTACCTTACATTGCTCCTCATAAATGGAAGAGTTCTGTGTTCACCCACAAAGCAGCAATAATCCCAGATCTTCACAGGGAGTCCCAGAGTTTATTTGTCATTGAAGAGTAAGCTCTTTGGCAGCTCAGTTTTTATCTAGATTGGCATCGGGTTTGTATTAGACCATTGCATTCCAGCAGGTTCTGAACCACACTCATTTGGTGTGGGAGAATGCTTTCAATTTGTGAGTTGCCAGCACAGGCTTGATGGGGGATTATCTGTGTTGTGAGTTTGTCAGCACCTGATGTCATTGTGCTTGGAGAGGGAAGGCCTGGATGGAGTTAAGATGAGCTGACACTTGGGTATTTTAATTGTGCCCTACTTTGGGGCTTCCCACTCAAACCTGTAGTCCTCTTGGGTTTCTTCAGGGTAGCTGTGTGTCTGTGAATCTCACATAGCTCTTGTCCTGTTTCCTTTGGGTTGGCTTCCTTATCTGGGGAGGACAGAGTATAATTGAATGGGATGAGCTTAGGAACTCCCTCAGTACTCCTTGCTCTATGTGAGGGAAGAACGTTTCTTTCAAATTGCTTTCTGCCAAAGAACCAAATGGTCAGGCTCTAGTGGTGCAGGTTGTAATATAACTTCAGGTAATCAATATAGTTTGACAGGTGGAACATTTCTTAGGTGCTGATGAGCAAGATGTGAGTCTAAAGATTTTATATATATATAATTCATCTGAAAAGCACAGTAAATCCTTTAGAGGGCCCAACCTTGACCATGTCATTGCAAGTAAAATTGAATTTCCGAGGCAAAGCTTCACATTTCTGCATTTATGAAGCATGGACAACTGAGGACACCCTTCCTGGAGTCAGAGGCTCTCCTGGACTGCCCTCCCCTGTACAAGGCAGGAGGCAGGACTTCTTAGGACAGTTTTCCTTTCCTTTAATAAACGTGGTGTACCCTCAGCACTTGCTAATCCAGTGATTTTGTTTTCTGGGTGCTGTTTGTTTCTTTGTAGTGTTTCAGGTGCAGCTAAGTTGGCAAGCAGCCAGAAACTGGGAATGGAGGTCCTGCCTGCCCCCATTCCACAGCCAGCAATGGATTTCTAGGAAAACTCAAGACTGGTAACTACTTCATGTGAAGGTTCCCATGATCCTAAGGAAAAAAAGATGGGAGGGCTGTAGCTCAGTGGTAGAGCATTTGCTTGGCATGCATGAGGCTCTAGGTATAATCCCCAGTACTACCAAATAAATTAGTTTAATTTCAAAATGGAAGCAGGCCTGGAGGGAGAGATTCAACATACGCAGTCTTCCTGGATTTCACTTTAGCATCCTTGGGCCCTCATTGAAATTTTTCCTTGTTCTAAGTCTATTTTAGCCAAGGATGAGTCCTTGATAGGAGGAGTGTAGTCAGATCACCTGCCCAGTCCCGTAGCTGAAATCATCTGAGCCCATGCCAGCATACTGGTAGGTGACGCAGACCTTTTGCTACAGCCCCAGTGCTGTGTTCTGGGATGGGTTACAGGCTGCACACTATACCTCTCTAGGGCCAGAGTTCCTCATTGTGTTGAACCCACATCTTCTACCTGTCATGACTGGACAGTCTCATGTACTTCCATCTACTAATTTGTGAAAGCTAGGCATCTCAGGTAGGCATGTGAGGGCTCTTTTCTATCCATCACTGTACCCGCCAAATCCTCAAAGTCACTCTGTGGCACTGGCCTCTTTTCTCCACCCAGACCCTCTTCCTCTCATGTAACTTACCGTGGAGCATGGCTTGTGCTTCCCTCATTACAGCCCTGACAGCAGCAGTTCACTGTAGAAAACACACAGTTTGCCTTCTTAGTTCCACCTGCCTCCAGGTTTGCCTTTTACACAGTGAATGTTATTCCCACACCTCCCATAAGCCTGTTCCAGGTCAGGCTCTGGG